ACCATTGCAAGATCGGAAAGCAAAAAAGACCATGCGGTTTACGACGCATTCATCATTTGATATTAACCGCTGATTTTATGTAATGTTTACTGTAGGCGCTCAAAGTGTCTATCGCTAGCCCACGAAATCGACTTTCGCCTTCAGTGTGTACATGTATGGCACAGGGACTCCGAAATGTCTGCGAGATTAGTGTCGCAGCAATTAACTATGGTTCGCTTCACTCTAATGACAATGCTTTTTCGCTTGAATGAATATTTCTTACAAAAGCTATATTAAGATTTACTTTTTTTGTTTCTTAATCTTGGATCAATGTTTGCTCTCTTTTTCAAAAGCCGATAGAAATTTCATCCTCCTTCTTCAAAAGCTGGAAACTGTATAGATTTATCACCATTCTCTTCAATTAGTGCTAAATTTAGATGGAATCATAGTTTGTAGAGGGAAATGGTTAGGAAGCCTTTTGTTGTAGGTTTTTGTGCACTTTTTTCCAAGCGTGACCGTGCACAATCTTTTGTTTAACTATTGTTTTAGCCATCCTGGTCACATCTGAATGAACATAGCGAAAATTAATCTTTTGGCAATTTCTTCAAAATGCACAAACCTTTTTGACCAATATTGAAATATTTCATTTCATAATCTCATAGAGAGTCTTTATGTTCACTCATTTTGCAATTTCCATCGTCCGTAAGAAAAAAGTTATGCACGGTCTTGACTGATTCAGCCTCAAAATACATACAAAAGATGTACAAAAGAAGTACAACAAAGGTTTCCAAACCATTCCCCTCTATTAACTATGATGGAATAACGCTCAAAAGTGACGACTGTCGACTGCGTGGTTCACCGTTTCTAGAAAGCATTTCAATTCAGCTAATCCGTTGCCATGGAAGATACCATCCAATTTTAACCTACGTGGATAAAAATAACCATCTCCCGAAGAATTCCGACAAAAACTGTCTGGTTCAGGATTTTATATCAACCTTGTCGGCCAATTAAGTCTAACATCCGCAGTACATTACGCTTTGGTGTWCAGTGTTGAAAATTTACCTTTGCTGTTTCAATATGATGCAGTACGATTCAGTTTAAAGACTTATAGGTCAATAGCGGAAAGCAAGATGAGTGGATGATAATAATGAATTATATTAATTTATATCAATACTCCATGTTAGTTAAGTTAAGACTTTCCGTTTTTGTGTGTGGTGAACTGTTGATGTTGATTCAGCAATGTTATGTTAATTACTTCAATAATTCCTGTTTGCCATAAAGTGCATCAAATAAAAGAGCTAAGTTCCTAGCACGTTTTACCAGTTTAAATGTCATCCCCGGTACCCGAGTCCGGAGATATTGTAGCCCGGATACATTTACGGGCCGTAAATGATTTTATTCGGATACACCTGAGGTCCACAGATATCTTTCATGTACGGTCTCTCCGCGGTATATCCGGTGATTCTGTACGGAAACAACAATCTCTAGACTCTTTCACAATGGAGTGTTCATCCGCTGAATTGATATGATACGAACGGCTCACCTTTGAACGAGAAAGCTTGACAAACATGGTGAATCATCAACACAAGGTGTAGAACTTTCTGTCGCCTCATTGTCAACATAATGTGATAGACCGAGTGCACCATATATAAGCAACACGTGACACCTTTAATATTAAACTCAAGTTAATGCGAAGCACAATGGTATCCCGTAGCAACCCATTGATAAAATAGTAATTCCATTATTACACCTTTTGCTGTTCATTAACCGCGAAGGGACTTTCAATCAAGCGAAACTGCATTGTCTTTAGCGCGAACGAACGTTCATTAACGCTTAGGGAGTTTCAAGAGCGTGAAGGGAGAATCATTAACATATTTAGCATAGACATGGACAATCATGCATAAGAACGGCTTCGTTAGGTAAAACTACTTCACTAATATTTGAAATTACCCTAACACAGCTAACTGAGATTGCAGTGCTGCAGAGCAAGAGCAGTAAAAAAATTGACGACATTGAAAAAATAGTTGAGTTTCGCAATCTTTTTAATGCTGTTTTAGCGTCAATTGTGCTTTCGTAAAATGTACAGATGTTTAGAGAAAACTCGTGAGGTTTCAAACTATTTTCATTGTTTTCAATACTAACAGATTTCTTCAGTGGAATTTTTTGAGGTAAGGTAAATAACACTCTATTAAAAAGATTTGAATACACTGAGAAATAACCACTTCAAAAGCACAGCACGGTAATGTTACCAAAAGTACAGATCACTCACACAAACCCTTTTTAACTAAAACTCACACGGTTACCGAGGTAACAATTTGGCATGGAAAAAATATAAACTGATTGAAAAACAAGTGAAAAAAACAAGTAGGGTGCCATCAAGCCGCTTTTATTAGAGACTTTAAAGTGMACATGACACCATTAGAAATTCACTCTCATCCAAAAGAGAAAATACTGCTAAGTTCATCTGTGAAGAAAGAAATTGATTTCAAATTGTATTTTGTAAGTTATGGGCGATTAAGACTTAGAAAATGCAAATGAAGTGACGTCTACTAAGGAATGATTTAATATACAAAATCATGAAAGAGAACGTTATTCTTTTTGTTACATTGGAAAAAGCATTTTCAGCTCTCAATTATTACTATGATTGATGATTTGAGCTATTCAACCAAGAACAGCATAGCGCAAACAATGTAAAAAGACTGGATCAATTCCTTAGTTGACGTCACTTCATTTGCATTTTCAATTTTCAAATGTCTATAACTCAGAAAATACAATTCAAAATCTATTTCTTTTTTCGCAGAAGTAGTTGGCAGCGTGTAAACTTTCGGATAAAAGTGTTTTTCTAAAAGGTGTCATGTGCACTTTAATAGCTCAAAATCTCGCCTTTTCTTACTCTTGACCGATGAGCAATATTCTGATGATTAAGACATCGGTGAGAAAGGAGAAACTTGTAAAACTCTTCACTCTTATCAATTTCAATTGTTTGGTCTTCATGATATCATGAAAACTAGGTCAATGTTTAAATTGTATATATGGTTTGGTTCGGGTAGTAATCTATATACACCATGTTCACCATGTTGTAACTGTTGTGKTTTTTGTCATTCATTGTAATAAAGCATGCAGCTGGCTTACTATGCCCCTCACAATGCATCGTCAAAATGTTAAGGTACAAAGCCCTCGCTATTGTTAGTCGGGGTAGTCATAGAGTCTATGTTAGGTAGACTTTAGTTGTACCTTTTTACCAATGTATCTATGAGGTAGCGTTTGGACCACAGGAAGCCCAAATARCCATCAATCCGTTGATGTACTACGAACTTTTGTTGCAGTGTCACAAATCTTATAAAGACTCGCGTGAAATTTGGCAAGCATATAGAATAAGTTTGAAACAATATAATTAATTCTTAACTAATTAGCACCTTATAGAAAGATTTCACATAAGCGTTTTTAACATGCAAATCAGTTTTTCGAGTATTTAGTAACATGCAAATTAGTTGTCACATAAGCCACAGGTAGCCCAGACGTATTATCAGAGGACGATTATCAAAGTAAGTTCGTAATAAATATWATGCCTTCTAAAACCACTGAAAAAAAAGCAAGTTCGTAATAAATATAATGCCTTCTAAAACCACACGCCAAAAAAGCATGAAACAATTCTTAACTATCAACATCTAATAAGATTTAGTTATCAACTAATTCACTGGGGCATGAACACAATGCCAGAAAGGAAACGTGTCTTTGTTTATGCCTCACTAAATTCTTAGGGCCTGATTATAGAGTGCAAATAATATACCCGTGAAATAGATAGTGACAAATAGGGATTGGTTAGTGCTCAGTTAGACAAGACATAGGAATTCGGTGAGGCATGACATAGTAACGTGCTTTTCAAGCAGAATACTTTGCTTAAAAAACAAACCACAGCTAAAGCTAAAATAACAACAAAACGCAAGTAAAATGATTTCAGAGCTTTTATTCCTTTGAGCTGCTATGGCGCAAAAACGACAAAAGACACAAATAAATCTAAAATAACCACAATACGCAAGAAAATGCGTTTAAGAATCTTCTTTTATTTGCGCTGCTGCAAAATCAAGACACAAGACACATCTAAAGCTAAAATAACCACGCAATACGCAAGAGAGTCTTTATTTATTTGCGCTGCTGCAAAATCAAGACACAAGACACATCTAAAGCTAAAATAACCACACAATACGCAAATAAAGCGCGTTTAAGAACTTTATTTATTTGCGCTTCTGCTAAATAAAGAATGGTGGGAACTAGCGGTAAACTAGTGTGAGCTGCGTCGGTGTTTCTAAAGGAACAGTTGTGTAAAAAGATAAATTTAACACCGTAAAAAAAGTATGTGAAATAACTTACTAAGTAAGTTACAAGACACATCTAAAAACTTTATTCCCTGCGCCGCAGSAAAATCAAGACACAAAACATTGTAAGGCTAAAGTAAAAAAAATAWAAAAATATCAAGACCCAGTACGCAAATAAACGTGTTTTCTAACGAGTTTATTGTAAAAGTCTAAACTAAAAATCAAGACAAGACGCACTTTYAATTTAATGACTCCAGAAAAATCTGTAAACAGCGTGCTTTTGAACGAATTCTATCGCTCAAAGCTGACTTTCGATTATATGGGAAATTTTTAGCCCAGTCTGCCGGGATCCCGGTTGTGGCTCGCTTTCCATGTAATCGCACAGCCGGAATCTTTTGTATTTGAAGACAAACCGAGATCTCGGCAAACAGGGCCAGCCCGGTCAACCAGGCCAGCCCGCCTCATATAATCAGGCCCTTAGTTAGTTGATAACTAAATCTTATTATAGGCGCTAATTACTTAAGAATTGTTTCATGCTTATGTGGCGTGCACTCTATTAAACCACAAGTTAGTTAATATTAGAGAGTTTTAGATTCACGTTTACTGCAAACGAAAACGTCAAATTGACTTTTATGCTTTGTCTCAAAATTTCAAACAAACGTTAAAACGCTTCGAAAGGAATAGTGATACGCTTATGCACGAAAAAGTGATCTATTTTATACACAATCGTGAAAGAACGCAGCGTTAATACCGAAAAACAGTGATCACGTGATCAGTTTTGACGTTTGGCGTTCGCCGTAAACGCGTACCCAAAACTCGATTCGCTCCCTTCCGAGTGTACGGGAGTGTACATATATTTAGGAAACGTTTGCAACTCCAAATGCTCGCACTCAAAAAATTGATTCTCACAAAACGCTTAATTTCTAACAGCGAAAGTCCTATCTGTGATTAAGAAACAAACCATCATGCCAACCGACCATTTGGAGTGTCACTCCTTCAACTCTGTGGAGAAAAATATTTTTTCAAAGTTCGGAAAGTCGTTCAAAAATCTTCGCTGGGTATGCGTGGTCTTCAGCTTTGCAATCATTACTTTCTTGCATATGGTTGTGTGTGACTCCTGGGCCTCTTTCGCTACTACTGTAGCTGTCTTTCGTCTTCTCAAGGGAGGCTACGAGGGTGGCCAGCTTCGACTCAAGTTTTCAAGGTAACAACTTATCTCAGGTGACAACTAATTTGCATGTAAATACTCGAAAACCTCATTTGCATACTAAAAACGCTTATGTGAAATCGTTATAAAATAGAGTCATTTTCATCCGTCTGTGAAACAATAACTACTAGTCAGTGTTTAATAGTAACTATTAGGGTGTAGTAGGCTACCAAAAGGCAAAATCAAAACCGTTTTTGCCAAATTTGTTGCATGTCATATACCATTCCTATTTCACGGACGGATGAAAATGACTCTAATGAAGAATTCAGCGAGGTATAATCAAAAAAAAATTCCTTTTCTGGCATTGTGTTGATGCCTCAGTAAATTCTTAGTTAGTTGATAACTAAATCTTAGAGCAATTTTATTTAATCCGTGAAATAAAAACTAAATAGTTCTTAACTAGTCACTAGTCACTAGTCACTAGTATTTTGTACTTCAATAAATGATAGCACTCAATCGAATCAACTTATGGTTCGATACTCAGGAGACATTACATATATAGAGGATATTACATGAGCGCGCGGAGATACGCCAAGCGACCATGTAATATTCTGTTTATCATATAATTAAATATGAAAGCAAATTATGTTGTAAAATACCTTTTTTCTTTCTTCCACTATATAGAGAAACCTCGAATGTGTTATTTTCACTAGTGAAAATATCAATTTTACGTAATGGAGAAATATAGGTATTTCATAGATAATTATATGATAAACAAGAATAAGAATCAAGTTATTGCCATTTATTTTTTATTGATATCACAGTACAAATGAAATAGACCATGTAATATTCTGTCTATATGTCAAACTAAATTATTGCGTAGAATAAATCTTGTCAAAATATTTTTGATTTTTGATCTCTCCTTCGATACACAGAAAAAACAGAAGATTCGGTTAAGGAAAACTAGCTTCGTCTTTACTAAGACCTTCTCAATTCCTTTAGGATCTAAGTACAACAAATATCAAGAAATCTCTTTTTTTTATTCTAATATTGTTAGAAAAAAATGCGTTACTTTCACTTGTTTTTTATTAATAGATTAATGTCAGTTCAAAATTCTAATTGATTATTCATGTGTCGCGATATTCTTTTCTGAYGGCCAGTAAGGCGCAACGATGTCAAACACCCAAAATACCGAGGCTGTGAGGCAGGAGAAATATCCTGTCTTTCMCAATTTTTCAAAATAGCAAGCCYGACGACACGCTCTAAGAGMGTCTAGTTAAATGTAAAACAGSGACCGATTCAGGACAGAAAGAAAACAGTAAAACTAGAAGTASCGTTAGTGGTAGATACTTGACAGAAAGCAAACAGTAAAACCAGAAGTAGCGTTAGTGGTAGATGTTCGATAGAATGCAAACAGTAAAACCATTTCGAGATAATGAACAGTTTTTATTTTTAATTCCAAAGACACAATAAACATTTCATAACTTTGTACATAAACAGGTCAAATAAAAACACAATTGTTATTTCTTTTCTGCTGTATCACCAGCAGGTATTTCTGGTTGGGATTCCTGTTTTCTGTATGTTGGAAACTGTTCCCACGTCGGCGAAATATCAAACTTTCGGAATTCCTGTGCTAATTCTATCGGCTCACAGACCAGACGCTTCAATTCGTCATCGTACCGCACCTGTTGGAGATTTCACACCGTTAGAGTAATAAATTACATATGCAGCAGTGGTGAGATTTACCTCAACATAGCCAGTAAGAGGGAAGTCCTTTCTAAATGGATGTCCTTCAAAACCATAGTCAGTAAGGATTCGTCTCAAGTCAGGATGGTTGGAAAAAAATACTCCATACATGTCCCATAACTGAATAATAATACGTTCAGTTAACCTTTGTCCTATGAATAGGAGGAGCCGACGTGTGTCTCAGTCAGCTGTAAGTCACAACTGGTTGCCAGCGAGAAATTCAGGAAAAAAGAACTCTCCAGGCAAAGAATACTTTAAGAATTTTTGCCAGGAAAATAAAAACTTCCTAACTTAAAAAATAGAAGCCGTTTTTGACCATTAAAACGTTATATAAGCCTTTTTGACCTTAAAAACGTTTGGCAGGAACAAAATTATTTTAAAGAAGGAAGGGAGCCACATTTGCTGCTACAGTAGATTGTCAAAAATGTAGCTAAAGGAAACAAATTTGTACAAGAACAGTTATTTAGAAGAACACACCCATTCTCGTACCCAGACCTTTCTCAGCTTCCAAACGGAAAATCGAAGCTGAGAAGGGTCTGGGTACGAGAATGAGAACACACCCCGTTGGCTCCTCCTGTATGAACTATGACCTCACAATAAAACATTGTTTTAAAGATAAGGATTGTGGTTAATAAGAGATATATATATGCACATATATCCACATTACCATAACACTACATGATATAACTTTCTATTA